GTGTAGGTCATCTCAGTCGTTTCCGAAGCACAAATATTTTGTTTTCGATCGGTTCACCTGCAGTGCCCATTCTTCATACTCTTTAAATAATCTTCTTGTCATGAATTCCAGGCCCTCCTTGTCCTGCACTATGAGAACATGGTCATCTACAAAATGTAAAGTATACAGCTTTGAATCATCATTAATGGTTATTCGAATTCCGCTGCATACTCTTCTCCACTTCCTTAGTGCTTCATTGAGGTATATCTTAAACAATGTGGGGGACAGACATCAGTATTGCCTCAAACCCTCTGTAACTGGAAAAGTTTCTGATAGCTCACCATTTAGTTTGACCGTTGATGTTGTTTAATCATAAAGTTGTTCTACAGGTGTTATTACTGTGTTACTTATCCTGGATCTCTCCATTGCTTGCCATAGTTTTTGTACGGGAACGGTGTCACATGCCTTCATAAGATCCACAAACAGAAGGTATACCTCTCCGTTTCTTGCTACTTGCTTCTCGGTTAGTTGGGTGAAACTGAAGATATGATCTGTACATGAGCGACCTGCTCGAAGCCTGCCTGTTCTTCAACTTCTTGGTGTTCGTAGTATTCTTCTATTAATCTTTGGATGACTTTTCCATAGAGACGGCTCATGGTGCTTATAACGGAGATACACCTATAGTTGGAACTGTCATCTCTACTTCCCTTTTTGTGGATGGGAGTAATCCAGGCTTCTTTCCACACCAGAGGTATTCTCTCCCCATTCATGTATCTGGTAAAGAGTTCTTGAATATGTTTTATGAGCTTTTGCGTCCCCCATTTAATCAGTTCTGCGGGTATTCCTTCTGGTCCGCTGGTCTTGTTAGTCTTCATTGACTTGACTACTTTCCACATTCTTTCCTCGTTAATTTCTACTCGGGGGTCCTCTACTCGGTATGTTTTTGGAGATGCTGCCAGAATGGTGCTCTATCTTCTTTAAGTTCTTGTGAGTAGTGTTGATGCCATTTATTAATCTGTTTAGGCTGGAAGTTTATCCTATTTACGGTGTTAGTATTTAATATTCTGATTAGTTTCCCCTATGAAGTTGTCGATCTCTACATTTCCTTTCCCATGTGTCGTTTTTATTCTTCTTTATCATGTTTTGAAACTTTGCCAGTTCTCGTTTGCAAGTGATTTTATCATCTGCATTTAGTGTATTAAACCATTTATGATATCTGTGTCTGCTGTTTTGTGTCTCTCTGTTGCTGTAGCTCTTCATTCCAGGTCAAGCTATTATTATGTTTTCTATACCGGCGGGTATAATAATGTTGGCTGCTGATTTTAAGGCTTCCATAACATGGGTATATAGGTCGTCGGTCTGACGTGCTAGATATTCATTATCCAACTTTTGATCCAAGCGGCTTTGGTATATGTGTCTAATGCTGTGTTCGTGGAGGCATTTGATGTTGAATTTAACCTCAACCAGTTTATCCCAATTCGCACTATCTTGGTTTTGTGTGTTATTGGATATGTTAAACGAGACATGGAGTCTGGAGGCCAAGAGATAATGATCCGTACCACATTCTATTCCTCTATACGGCCTTGTGTCTAGTACTTGCCATTTCGTAGTTTGTTTCACTATTACGTAGTCAATGATTGATTTTAGTCCATTGGTATCTTGGTGCCAAGTGTACTTATAGATATTCTTGTGTTCATAGAACCCATTTAGTATTTTTAAATTGTGTAGTTCGCATATTTCAATTAATCTTCAGCCATTGTTATTTAGGACCTCTTCACCAAACTTCCCAATGATGTTACTGTCTGTTCTGCTTCCGACTCGAGCGTTCAGATCTCTGAGTACAATATATTCACGTTCTTCATTCAGAAAGTATCTCGTCCAGCTCGTCACAAAACTCATCTTTATCTGGTTGAAGCGCATCTTCATTGGGGCCATACGCCCTATCTATTTTAGATATTCTGTGTCCATGGATATTCAGATTTGCAGTTATGAATGATTCTCCTTTCATTGAATGTGTCCCAGTTAGTCAGGTTCTTATAGTATTTCTTGTTTATCGGCAGTGAAACGCCCCTACACGCTCTTTGGTCCCTTTGATCGCCGCGGTATATGTGCATGTAATCCGCTATCTGTTCCACTCTGTTTCCCTTCCTTTTTGTTTCTGTAAGTGCAGAACCGTGCTTTTTTTACGAGGTTGTTGCTCCTCCTCTTCACCCTTTCTCAACCTGGCTTAGGACAGGCTTTTCCATAGGAATTAATTAACGCCCGTCGATTTTTAGGAACAAACGGCGACCGTTGAGTTGCGATATTACTCAGACCAACATATCATCGAGTTCGAGCACAGCCACTCAGCCAAGCAGCGGATACCGCGGATCTTCCAGCATTCTGAGTGATTCTCAAAATAGCCCCGCTATCCAAGGAAACCATAATCCGCTGTTTGTTTATCGCTATGATAGCGTCACTAGTTCAGAAGCTAGTCTATTAAATAGGTAAACATATGCAAGAATATGCAGCATATTATTGCTGTTAATGCTAACATTTCATACAACCGAAAATGAGCGATTTTTGTTGCGCAAAGGTCTAAAAAATGTGTTTTTAACAGCGACAAACAAGCGCAATGTATAACGACAACAGCGCCTTGCACTGGGCAAAGAATCCAAGAAGCGATTCCTCCGCGTCCACCGTTGCCCAGAAGTATTTTGAGAAAATCCGAGCTGCAGAAGAGATTCAGCATGTATGAGACTAGCGAAGAGGATTTGGCCAATGACGAGGTAAAAACCCGCATCCAATTCGCACTTAATCACCCTCTGTAGTAATTGAAGGTTGTAACAGCGAGTTGTTTTATTTCAGGTGAACGTGAATAAAAGAAGATCAGTCCCCGAGCCGTATTTCCTGAATCGGAACAAACGCCTCTCCGAGACTGAGGATGAAGGAGTGGACGCAGGCACTTCCAGCAGCAGCATGGACGAGAAAGACAATATTCCCAGTAGACCTGAGTATGTTCTGCCTCATATGAGTACTGATGAGCTGATACAGCTCGAGGAGTATCTGAAACTAAGTGGCCTTTCCACCTCTGACGAGGAGAGGACTGAGGAGAGTCTGTCCAACTTGAGAAGCTATGTGAGCAAATTTTTGACTCTCAAAATCAATCAGGTCAGTAATGATACAATCTGAAATAAAGTCATTCTAAACCGAGTTTACTTTTGCGGGTTTCAGGACGACTCCGAGCATTTCGGCGGAAAAAAATCCGTCAGCTTCGCAGAAAAACTCAACGTAAACCAGCGATATTTGGACGCCAAACAGTGCATAACTCATCCGCCCAACAACTCTCCAAACGTATCGGCTGTTCTTCTGCAGCGCAACTTCCAGCCCAAAGCTGTCACTGACATGACTATTTGCGAGGAAAACGAGAACAGCCCGAACTATTCTAGTCCGCAAGCCACGCCAATCCACCTGTGTAAAACAGCTTCGGATAACTACGTGCAGAAACGGTCGCTAATCAATGGGGTTTTGGATGCAGTTGAGCAGGTGATGAAGTATTTCTCTCCAGCTTCGAATCAGCAGGAACTGAACGCGCTTGGTATGTAGCTGAGCGGCTCTGATCCACTGCTGGAGTCTAATTCCTACTCTCCTATCAGGTGATTCCAGTGTGAATCCAGCCAGCGCTAAGCTAGCTCTATCGACTCTATGTCCAGCTCTGTATGCAGTGCTGAGTGATGGGCTGAAGCCCTGTTTGGAAACCAGCTTTGGCGCTATAAACAACTCAGTTTGGCAGGTGGTGGAAGCGTCTTCGCAACAAGGTCCCTTGACTAAGGCTCTGAACGACTTAGTAATGCGCATTAATAGCGAAGATGTGATTAGTGAAGGCTTAGGTAAGTGTCTAATAGGCATGGGTAACTCGGGGAATGATCAGGAGTTGGCGCAGTGATGCCGAAATGGCTTGGTGCGCCAACTCAACGCCCCGGCACATTAACCCATCGGTGCAGTGTTCTTTTTTGGTGAGGTTTTTTGGTTAGGTGATAAAATTCCAGCCCCGAGCCTCGTACAGCTTTAATCCGCAACTGGGTGGTGGAGTGCGGCAGAGTGAGACGCGAAAAGCTCAAAAACGAAAAATACCCTACAAGTTCAGCGTTTTGCGTTCAGTAAAGCAAAGTGCGCTCTAAATGTCGTCAAAATTTCGAATTTCACTGATCGTTAAGAAAATTTTGCGCAGGATTTGAAGAAACTGTTGCGTAACACATTTTGCGTTATTAACTATGAAAGAACCAATAGGTCAATCGATACCAAATCCACCGTACGATTCAGTTGATGAATATGGGACTAAATGTTCTACATGTATGGTAAAGCTAAACTTACCGACGCTGCGAAGGAAGGTGGCACCTGGAAAGAAAGAAGAAAATTTGTTTAGTACCGCGGGAAATCTGTCCAAAGCCAAACTTTTTTAAAATTAGCAACGCAAATAGAGAGGGAGATAAAGAATGTATAACACATCAGTTGCTTGTCGGAAAACTAAACTCAATTCAAGCGAACATATTTTTGATTGATATCATTTTTTCCGGCCTTCTGCAATCTGGCGTCCTATCCTCCATTTTCTACCCAATAATCCTCAAAAAGGTCCTTTAAAAGTTCGGATTTCAAGAATTTTTCAAAACTTACACTGGAGCTTAATTTTATTATCTTCTAGTTATGATCATCCAAGTCATATTGCTTCATCCGCTAGCCCCAGATGTCTTAATTAGTCAAAATGTGCTATTTAATGCTCTATCCGGTGCTCCAGCTCAATATGATGCTGAGAAGTAGGCAAAAAGTTGCAGAATGCATAACATTTTGGCCTAATTTTGTAGCTACATCATATTCAAACGTCGCCTTTTATTTCAAGTTTGTGAATTTCTTGTGAAGTAACCAAGACCTCAATCGGAACCAAATTCACACTATAACTAGGCCTGGGTAACTCAGATGCTTTTTAGGAGTTGCCGCAGTGCTCGCAAATGACTTGGTGCACCAACCCAACGCACCGGCGCAGTAACTCAGTTTCGTTACTGTGAAAATGTTGATGGCTTTTTTTAGATTTAGTTTAAAAGCCATTTATTAATAATATTTTTAAAATGTATTCAAATTTCAGAATTTTCCAGTTTTAGCCCAGTTGCTCTTTCTTTTAAATGCTCAATTATGCAAAGTTTTACTTAAAAATGCTGACAATGTCAAGGTATTTTCCATGAAAAATTATGAAATAAATTTCGAATCATTCGTCGCTTTGTAAAAAGTTTTAAAATCTCTTTCCAGCTTCGCATTTCGAACAAAAATCAAATAAATTTTTCCTCAAAAAACGAACAGAATATGCGAAAGTTTATAACAGATTATTTGGAAATCCGTCTGAAGAGACTGAGTTCTGATTCCTCTAAAGACTGTAGAAGTTGTTAAAAAATGTGGGTTTTTAGTTTTGACCGTATTTTTTTGCTTTACATTCTACTCAAAACCGCTCTATTTTGTAGAGTTTTACTTAAATCTGGAGGTCTTTTTCGCGGTTTTCTTCAAAACCGATCACAAAACTAAAGATTTTTAATCGAAAACGCATATAAAACAATTGTAGGACAAAGACAAGAAACAAGACAATGATGGGAAGTTTGCATCCAAAAATTATAAAATTAATTTTGCTACAAAATTTGCCTCATTCATCGGTTTGCAGGGAACTTGAGAAAACCCATTTCATATTCGAATTTGGCACAAAAACCAAATAATTTTATTCAGATTTTTACCGAAGTAATTTTCCAATTTTCCCCCTTGCTCCTGGATATTGACAATTTTTGTTAAACACGAGCCGGAAGAAAAACTCTAGATTTCAGAGTCAAAAGCCCAACTCAACCCAGTGTTACCCATGCCTAAAATGCAAGAGTTGTATCTGGTTCAGTTCCAATATGTAATTTTTGCAGTAAAATTCAATGCCTTCATCTTTGGCTTGCTCAATGTACGTTCATTGGACGCCTGGACTAGCTACCTGCGAACACGTGAAAGTGTTCTAAAAAAGCACTACACAGCTGACTCGGTTCTGGTGCTGTCGCTGACTGGAGGAACCAATCTAAGAACCATGCTCGACTCGATGGTAGCTGCTTTGCAGCCCTTAGCCTTCCTGCCCTTCCAGTTCGATCTGCTGTTCGAATACAAACAGCTTCATCTCAGCTTCAAGAGAATGGATTCATATCATCAACCAACCAGCCCCATCTTGAAGGTATGTTCATTCTGGCTTTCTTGGTGTGGCTAATGTTTTATATTGCAGTATTCGCCGTCTACCACTTACAAGCAATTTTTATCGGCCAAATATGGTCAGGTGTCTTCGAACAGCCGCTCAAATTCCGAATCTGACGACATATCGACTGGCACTGTACGAAACGGGCTTCAAGGCCTGTCAGAACCTCTTCACTCCAATGAAGCAAAGTTGAGGAAAAGCGACAAGGAACGCCCGCGAAGCTGTGTCGACCCTGGAATGTTCAACGCTCCAACTTTCAAGCTGGGCGAGGATGTGAATAACGTTGCTAAGAAAAGGTAAGACCTCGCGCAACTCGCACATTATTTCCCAGAGCCAAACTCTTAACACTTAAACACTGAGCACACCTTGAATTAGCTACTGATCCTTATCGATTCTCGCGTGGTGCACTTGATCCAAGAACTCAACAGTCAGATGAGAGAACATTAAAGGTGTTCTTGCAGGTGGTCAAACATCGCGACCAACTCCAAACTCTACCAAGCGTATGATCGACTGGCGAAAGAAGACGAAGAATATGCGGATAGTTTGGAGAGTCCCCAGGTGCAGCCGCCTTTGAGTATCGTGGCTGAAAAGCCATTGAAACCCGAACATCCTGGGCCGGAATCGCTCGATTCGAATTATTCGGATGAAAAGCCCGTGAATGGCAGAAGGTTTAAGAAACTGCAGCAAAGATGGGAAATGCTCAGCGCCAAGGATTCCTTTGAAAAGGACTCGCCCCCTCCCAGTCCCACGCACCCGAATGTTAAATCTAAAATTCCCAGGTAACCTTCGCGACTTTAAAATTCCTCTGGAGGATTCAAAAATTTGTCGATGTTTCCAGGCCCATCACTTCTCCAGTCAGACCGTCAGGGATTCCAGTATTAATATCACCTCCAGCTAAACCGGCCCTCAAAAAAACGCCCAGCGCTCAAGTCGGGCCAGTGAAAGCCACACCAATCAAAAACGTGTCGGCGAAAAAAATCGGGCCCCGAACTAGTCGAGCTGACCAAGTGGAGTCCAATCACAATGTGCAAAGGCCGAGCAGTTTACCATATAAACCAGCCAGTCAAGCTAGCAAAACACCAAAGATCGTTCCTCAAAGGAGGGCTGCGTCCAGTTCGTTAAGCAGAAGAGTGGTCACTGGTCGAAATATACCTCCAAAGTAAGTCAAAATTTCAGTACGAAATATGCGGGTGGGCATTTTTTTGTCGATGAGGTTTGGAAAATTCTGTCTCATTGTCCAAGAATGCTATTGTGTCCTCACTGTGTCCATTTGACTCCTTTGTTCTCACATTATATGCAGAAGTGTTTCATCCTCCAACTCTCAGCCTCCACAGATGGCCTCATCAAAAATTCCTGTGGTAAAACCCAGACTCCTCCTTGATTGTTGGCTGCTAAAGTCTAGCAGGTCTTTCTTGCCTACTGGTTGTGGGGGCTCTTCGAACAGCTGTGCTGTAGGATGCCTACTTGGGCATGAGACATATGTACTCCTGCTTGCTTCAGTTGCCCTCGTGAGTGATTTCAGCTCCTTCGGAATCTTCCTTTAGTCTTCTGCACAGTGTAGCACGCATTGTCATCTGATTGAGCACGATTTTCGAGCGTTCTGTGTAGACTTCCTCCTTTTGCCCACGATGAAGTACCTAGACCTAAGAGCATTTTTCCCCAGTTGTTCCTCTTTCGAGCACATCAGCGCCTGCCTGCGTGTTTCTTTGCCTCTTTCGCCCTGCATACTTAGAGGCGATTAATGCAAGTTTGACAGAGTGAATGAAATCAACCAAAGTTCGAAGTTCGGTAAAATCTTATTGGGATGGAGGTTTGAAACTTATTTGGTGAGAGTTTTACTTTCTTAAGCTTCGGTCTTAAACTTGGTCGGTTTTGGCTTCAAATTTCAAATTAAAAATTCTTTCAAAGTTCTTTCAACTTTAAAAATTCTAAACCAGTTTATCAGTGAAAGATAAATTCCCACTTTAAGTTGGCAGTTGCACTAATTTTGGAGTTTTATTGGAAACTTGAGTGCCTCCAAGTTTCAGAGCAATCAAACTTGGAAGTTTAAGAGCTTCTCAAATTTCAGTCAAAGTTTCAGTTTCGGAAATTTTTTGGGAAATGGAGTCACAAATTGGTTTGGAATTTACATTTGAGTAAAACTTTCTGAGTTGGAAGTTTAGAGAGTTTTAGGAAATTTCCATTCGTACTAGTTTTGGAGTTCTTTGCCTTTTTTGTGCGTCTCTAGCTTTGAAGGATCCCGCAATATATATTATAGAAAATTATCTTTGGTTTTTCACGTAACAAACAATATATTTATATTTTTCAGTTGCTTCTGCACAATATATGAGTACGGGGATGGTACAGTGTCTTAATTTGTTATCAATCATACCTGAATTGTGCAATGGTTTGTATAGTTGCTTCAAACACTAACTGATAATTGGCGTGCAAACTGCAGCTAAAATGTGCAAAAATGGCGAGATGTTTTATGTTAAATTGATCTAATCGAACTTTTAATGTGAACTTTTTTCGTGTAGTTAAAAAATTGCATTTGGAATCCGGAAAGAAAAATGCTTCGAAGGGTGGAAATTTAGCTATGACTTGGAATGGAATACGTGAGTGGAACAAGGCCGAGTGCACTCATTTGCGGGTAATGAGAAAGGAAGAAACACTCCGAATGTGATTAAGGGAGCTGCTGAAGGCGAGCCCTAAAGTGCGCCACTTTAATAGCGATTTTATTCTTTTGATTCATAAATAATCTGGCAGTCTGAACACATTCTAAACATACCTATCGAATGTTCATATTTTCCCAGTTTTTAACAGTTTTAACGTCAATTAAGTTATTTACAACCAATCAGATCAGAATGTGTTTGTGATTAAGCAGGAGACATTCAAAGTTCAAATTCTACACGCGCCTCCAATGCAAAGAAAACACTGAGCAACCTGTTAACTTTCACTGCGCTTCTTATGCGGTCTCAATAGATTTTGCTCAGACTTTATGCATGGATCAATTTACGTCACATCTTCTTTATAAATTCGCTAATTCTACTCGCGCCTCCATTGCAGAGAAAACTGATGGCAAACTGTTAACTTTCACTGCGCTTCTTATGCGGTCTCAATAGATTTTGCTTAACTTTATTCAGGGGTCAATTTATGTAGCATCTTCTTTATAAATTCGCTAATTCTACTCGCGCTTCCAATGCAAGGAAAACACTGAGCAAACTGTTAACTTTCAACGCTTCTTATGCGGTCCCAATAGAGGTTGCAAAGATACAGTGTTCTCCTAGGACCTGTTAAGTATTCTCAAGTTTAGTGTTTAGTGAAATGGCTGAAGTTTTGCCAACGAATCTATACATTTTTTTCGCTGCATATACAAGATGATGGAAATGTGGTGTTGTGTCCGATAAAACTACCCGTCTTAACTTCACAACCCGGTTCGAAATAAAAAGCTAAAGTTGCTTAACTACTTTAATAAACAGACAAAATCCCTCCAAACAAAGGAACTACTGAACTCTACTTCATTTTACAAAAAAGGCGTGCGTTCTCAACACAAAGCACCCAATCACACTGCCCATTTGGGCCTTACCCTTCTTTTATGATCCTTTCCCTATTGACCCACTAGCGGGAATTTTAAAAGCCAAAAACTATTTACTAGACAGAGGTGGAGGGCTGATCCTTGACAGTGGTGGATCATAGAAGGCTCTAACATGTGGCGCAAACAAATGTATATGTTTTAAATCGAACTGTTTGTCTAAACAAATTCCGATATCTTAAGTAGACTTTCTTAAGAGCATTTAAATTATAAATTACATTGTTTGTTTCCAGATAACAGCCTTATCTTACCAAAATACATCGGTTGACGAAACACGATTAACTGATGTTTCAATGCTGAAATGTAGGCGTAAAAATCAAGATTTTTAAACACATTTTGCGCATTTTTGGGAAAAACCCAAAACCCCGTGTCTACAAGTAGCCGCTATCAGATCCTGCAACCGCCTGTTAATTTTCTATGTAGAGATTTTAAAAACTTACAATCAAATGTACACAATTGATCGTCTGATTTTAAATCTCCAATAAGCGTCAGTTGAAGACTGGAACGAACACTGAAAGCTTCTTTAGACAATTCAACTCCAACATTGTCTTCCACCTTCAAACACAAGCTTTGCTAGTTAGAAGCTTTCATTAAACCAAGATGTTTCCATTATTTCATCACTAATTTTTAAACTCTCACTAACCAAATCAGAGAAGCGAAAGCGACATTATCATTCAGCCCAACAGCATTTTGTTAGGAATAAATTAGCAAAGCGATTTAACTTGCAGGTCTGTTAGAACATTGAGTCACCGGTTGCCATCGGAAAGTGGCCATTTGTCCTACAACGAAGGCGAGATTTTGAAAGTTGTGCTCGAAGTTGATGACAAATGGCTGTTGTGCTGTAGAGGAACGCAGAAGGGCCTGGTTCCGAAATCTGCTGTGATTGCGGATAATGAAAGGTTTTGATGAACAAATTAATGGAAAACCCAGAACGCTCAGTCGTGCAGAGGCAATATTGATCTAACGTACTTAACTGCTAAAGGCTTGCAGACCAGCAACTCACCAAGTTTCACCAGAACGAACGCTTTACATCAAGGTTACCTTTATTTAATTACTGTATAAATCATAAACTAGACTGGTGATGTGATGTATATTATAAATAGAGTTAAGGAAATATAATTTATTTACGTGGTAGGTTAAAGGGATAGGCAGTATACCCTAGTTGAATGTTTCCGCTTATTGTGAGGTTTTCGGCGTTAAATAATCCCAATTTTTTCGATACAGTGTAAGTAATTTCTGATCAGTTAAATGAGCACGGGCAAACAAAGATTATATTTATTAACTCAGATAGAGTATTTATATGGTAAAGTATCTATTGTAGTCTATAGAGCATGTTAGCCAAAAGCTTTGCAAAATGACTGATGAATGGTTGCAATTATTGGCAATCTACCAACATCATCTGTGCATTACTAACATTAAGCCTTGGGTGGTTGGGTCTAGTAGCTATATTCTATTTTTTTGGCCATGTTTATATACGAAATGTCTACTAACAATAATAAATTATTATCAAACATTCCCTTCCATGGTAAGTTAAACTAATCTTAGGCTACTTAGCTTTAAGCGTTTTTCGTATATAAATATCGGCTTTCTGGTTTGGTGGGCTGTGGGAACGCTAACAAAATCCATCCTCATTAGATTACCGATCCTTGCATGCTAATTCATGTTAAGGCCTACATCAAATTGGAACTTCCAAAACGCGAATTCAGCTCCGGTTCACTGGGAACTTTAGATAAAAGTGTTTAAATTTTTTCTGTGGACGATGCACACATTCTCTTAGCAATTTCGGGCTCTGTTGTCCAAGTATTTGAAAATACCTTCGGATCCAACCAATCGCCCCAGTTCTATATATGTTCTACATTAACATTATTTCATTAAATCCTACTAACTCCCTAGTTTAACATTCGTGCAACAGTGGTGTTGGTCTTTTGGCAATAAAGCTCCGTCTATTTAATTTCCTTTAATATGTATTAATGTGGTGTTAATTGTGCTAGAAAGTTTTCTAAATATCTGTTAAAGGAATTTTGTTAAAATGATTACGCTTCAGCTTTAAATCGCCAGCTAAAATAATGATTACTCTAAGGGATAATGACTATTGTCAAACCATGAGATACTTTAAACTCCCTATATGAATTACGATAACTAAGTAGCTAGTGGAATGCGTTCTATTTCAGTTAACCCTCCCCTAATAAAGGGCGCTTTCGAGGCTCAGATATACGTAAAGAAAAAGTAAATTAGTTTGAAGGTCTGGTCATCTAAAGCGCCCCCAAAACGACACACGAGAAATGAGAAAAAATACTCCCTACTTTGTAAAAAATGTTAAATACTGCTACGAGGCCTTTTCATTTGTTGTATATTTCTTAAAAGTCAAACCCATTGATTGATTTGTCTGCTTCTGTATATATTGAAATTGTTACATATTCACAGTATTTCAATATCAAAAGGAACCAAAATAAAAATCCAGTTGTAGCGGGGGACAATTGTCCCCCGGGTCCCCCTTGTTATTGGAAATTTCGATCGAACGATCCAGGCATGATTCCGAACATGTATTTATAGGATAGGTGATATTTTTTTTACAGATTTAGTATATTCTTTATTTTAGTTTCGTGCCATACACATCAATTCATCAACGTACATGGTTTTGTTTAGTTGAAACTTTATCCGCAAATATTTCTCATTTATTTACGTTTATATCAGTACGCTACTTTGTAATTGTTCTCAAGACGTAAAAATATATTTAAAATATTTATTTTTGTTTTATTTCACATTTATTTAATATTTATACTACAATATCCATTGGGTTCCACATATCAACCTGTTGAATTATTGGTATTGAAGTAACTGGTGAGTTTTTCGCACTTTTTGGTCAGAGTGGAAAAGCATTTTTTCTTCCGAGAACCCTCGAAGGTTCTTATATATGAGCAGAAGACTGAGAGTCGTATTCAAGACTCGCTTTAATTTTTTTGCGGGAAAATTAGAAACTTTGTACAAATGGTGTTTATTATTAAAATGTGAGCATTTCAAGTTTCCATATCGCAATTTTTTTTTAACTTGAGTTTTATAGCTCAATCGGCTCTCAATATATGAGCCAAGGACTAAGAGCGTTTTTTACACACCGCTTTATTTTGAATTTTTGCACTTCGCGTGAAAACTAGACACATTACTGAAACGACGTTTAATATAGAAAAATATGTACTTCAAAGCTCTACCGGTTGATATGCCATGATACCTAGAGCTTTGTAGCTCAACCGGTTCTCTACATTTGAGGCAAAGACTAAGAGCTGTTTCCAGGACCCGCTTTAATTTTAGATTTTCGTATTTCGCGTGAAAACTGTAAAAATTCTGCTGATTATTTTTAGACTAATAAAGTGCGCATTTTAAGCCTCTATTCAGTCATCCTATCTAGAGCTTTGCAGCTCAACCGGTTATCCGCATTTGACCCTTAGACTTGGAGAGGTTTTTAAGACCCGCTTAATTTTGTATTTTGCGTGAAAACTAGAAACATTTTTTCAATGATATTTATATAAAAAAAGGACGCATTTTTAGGCTCTATCCCTAGAGAGCAACTAGAGGTTTACCGCTCAACCGGTTCTCTAAGTATAAGTCACCGACTAGGGAGGTTTTGAAGTCCCGCATTAATTTTAAATTTTTGCATTTTCCGCGAAATCTATAAACACTCCTAAACTGATGTTCAATATAAAAAAGTACGTATTTCAAGACTCTATTCAGACATGCTAACTAAGGCTTTGTAGCTCTACAGGCTCTAAATTTGAGCCAAAGACCAAGAGCGGTTTTTACAATACGCTGTAATTTTAGATTTTTATATTTTGCCTGAAACTTTAAACACTCCTAAAATTATGCTTAATGCGAAAAAGTGCGCATATAAAGGCTCTATCGCAAAATTCTAACTAAGACTTGGCAGCTCGACCGGTTCTCTCAATTTGAGCCAAATACTAAGAGCAGGTTTTAAAACCTGCTTTAATTTAAGATTTTTTTATTTCGCGTGAAAACTAGAAACAATTTTAAACTGATGTTCAATATAAAAAAGTGCATATTTCAAGCCTCTATCCAACGATGATAACTAGAGCTTTGCAACTCAACCGGTTCTCTAAACTTAATTAACGTAATTATGAATAAAAATGGAAGGTTCAAACAGGTCAAATTCATACAGTATTTAAATCAAAGCTTTTAAAGTTAAGCTCTAGATTTTTTTTTTCGCATTTTGTGTGAAAGCTAGAAACATTCCTAAAACAATGTTTAGTATAAAAAAGTACTCATTTCAAAGCTCTATCCTGCAATTCGATCCAGAGCTTTGGAGGTCAACCGTTTCTCTAAATTTGAGCCAAAAGTTCAGAGCGGTTTTCAAAATCCAATCTAATTTTCAATTTTTGGATTTTCTTCCGCGAAATCTACAAACATTCCTAAACTGATGTTCAATGTAAAAAAGTCCGTATTTCAACGCTCTGTTCAGCCATGCTAATTAGAGCTCTGCAGCTCGACCGGTTCTCTAAATTTGAGCCAAGGACTAAGAGCGGTTTTCAGGACCCGCTCTAATTTTAGACTTTTGTATTTTGCGTGAATATTAGAAACACTCCTAAAATGACGCGTAATGTGAAAATGTGCGTATATTAAGGCTCTATCGCACAATTCTAACTACAAATTTTGCAGCTTAACAGGTTCTCTCAATTTGAGCCAAAAACTAATAGCGGGTTTTAAGACCTGCTTTAATTTCAGATGTTTGTATTTTAAATGAAAACTAGAAACAATTTTAAACTGATATTCCATATAAAAAGGTACGTATTTCAACGCTCTATCCTGCCATGCTAACTACAGCTTTGCAGCTCAACTGGTTCTCTAAATTTGAGACAAATGCTAAGAGCGGCTCTATCCAGCAATACTACCTAGAGCTTTGCAGCTTAACCGGTGAATTGATTATGAAAAAACTGGCAAACTGATCAAACTCATACAGTATTTAAAATAAAGCTTCCTCTAAATTCCAATAAAACTGTGATTCTGAAATCTGTCTGGGTTGTTGAGAAATGCTCTGAGGAACTCGGAAGTGCACAAGTGGCGGAGTCTAGGAAATAATGACAACTTTGAAAAATGAGTATGAAAAAAAACTGGCAGGCCCAAACTGGTCAATTTAATTTAAGCTCTAAAGTTAAAAAGTTAAGCTCTAAATTTGCTACAAAAACTAAGAGCGGTTTTCAAGACCCGCTTTAATTTGAAATTTTCCTATTTTGCGTAAAAGCTAGAAACATTCCCAAAACGATGTTTAGTATAAAAAAAGTAGCCATTTCAAATCTCTTTCCAACAAGAACGTTGCAGCTCAACCAGTTATCTAAATTTCTAAGAAGTCTAACAGCGGTTGAAAGGCGCGCTGATTTTCTCACTTTGCGTATACACTAGAAACGTTCCTAAAATGCTGTTAAATGGTAAAAAACAGTACGATTTTCAAAGCTAATAAAATAAAAGAATAACAGTATAAAAATGTAAAAACCAATAAAACGATAACTACATACAAATCAAGCTTGTGAACGTTGGATTATGTTCCTTATGGAATTTAAGCATGGAAAACTTGCGCACAATTCAGATATATCGCTCGATCAAGCCCTCCTACTGCTACCAGGGATCGATTCCTCGCAGTCAGCTGTTTGTTTTCCCATACGAGGAATTAATCAAATATTACAGACCAAGTGGCTTTTTAGACCAATTCGTCAAATTTCCGGACAAGAGAATTAATAGTTTCCAGACGATTTATGGTAAGATTAATTTTTCGTAAAGAAACTTCTTGACCGATTTCAAAGTCCATTGGCAGCATTCCATCTAATTAAACACTATTTACCTATTTCAAAACCGAGCTATAATCTCCCGTCAATATTGACTGCAAGTAATCAAAGTTAAGATTTTTTCTGGGCTCACTTAAGGAAAAATCGCACTAGATGTTTTGCAGATGCCGCCAAATGTGAAAATTGGAATAATCGGTGGTTCCGGTCTGGATAACCCGGACATTTTAAGGAGCCAAACGGAAAAACGCGTCACTACTCCTTATGGCGAACCCTCGGACATCCTTATCTTGGGCGAAATAGGGGGTGTGGCGTGTGTGCTGTTGGCCAGACATGGGAGGAAGCATGATAAAATGCCTGGTCGGTGCCTAAACTTGAATAAATCACCCACTCCTCAATTACTGACAAAAATGCAGTTTAGGAGCAGTGAACTACAGAGCAAATATTTGGGCATTGAAGCAAGAAGACTGTACTCACATAGTAGCAACAAATGCTTGCGGATCTCTGCAGGAAAACATCCGACCAGGGAGCCTAGTGATTTTAGATGCCTGGATAGGTAATGAAGTTTTTTTCACAAAAAAGCAGCCGATCAAAAGCAAACTGTTCAGATAGAACGACAAACCGCATTCAAACATTTTACGATGGAGAGCTGGGCCATCCTCCGGGAGTGTGTCACATGCCCATGGAGCCAGCTTTCCATCCTTTACTGCGACAGGTATTTCCGTATTATCCTTCTCGGATCATTTACGACGTTTCTCCACCACCAGGTGATGCTTGAAGCGGCTTTCCACATTGGGCTGCAGGTGAAGGACGGTGGCTGTATTGTAGCTATAGAAGGGCCACGGTATTCTAGTAAAGCTGAAAGCCTGCTTTTCCAGTAAGACTTAGCGCTCCAAAAATGAAAGACTCCTATGGATATTTTTTTGAAAATGGGGCGCTGACCTAGTGGGGATGACCACCGTGCCTGAGGTGGTGCTAGCTAAAGAAGCTAGGCTAATATATGCAGTTATTGCAATGGCAACTGATTGGGACTGTTGGAGGTCGACTGGGGAGAAAGTTTCTCACAATGCAGTTCTGAAGGTGTTTCAGGTACTGACTCAAATTGACCCCACAAATTACTGCCAATAGGTCTTGTAGGAAAACGTTCAGCAAATAGTTAACCTTCTCCAAGCCCTAATTCCAAAAATTGCCCAGCAAAATTGGGATGAAGCCATCAAGCAGATACATTCACTGGTAGCAGACAGTGTGATACTGCCGGAATAATTGCAAATATGGGATCAATCTAGAACTTTCTTGGCCCGCACTCACTTGTAATTACACCTAGACGTCTATGAATCTGGAGTAGGCTCCAAACGAGAATGTATTCAATTTCGTCTTGAGACACTTACACTTAGAGCTATTATCAGTACATATTGGGGAATCACACAGGATATCAGGAAGAGACAGTTGGTTAAAACTGCACCTGAGAGTGTCTATCTGAGGCTGCCTTTGTAGTTAGCAATGCATTTTACTATATTTCTTGTTCTTTTAGATGTCAATTCGATACGGTTCTCAAGGTTCCTGTAAGAGTATTATACAGCCTGACTGACTTAAAGTCTCCCGTGCATTATTTTGCTTTTTTATCATTTATTTACTTATTTAACGACTTCATATTGAAAATACTTTCAATTTGATCGCTTTTTGTCTTGACAATATGCTGCACGCAAGTGACTTTGTAGTAATACGTTATAGTAGTTATACGGTGCCATTCCTGCTGAAGTATTTTCTTGAGAGCTTCCAAACTCTCGTTTTTTTAGCAAGCATTTGCCTTCAAAATACCCCGAAAAGAGAAATCCATCGGGTTCGCATCCGGAACATTTCCCATCCATTGCGACGAAGAAATGAAGCCCGGAACGTCGCTTTTTAATCATTCTTTACTGACTCACCCTTTGTGAGACGGTGCTTAGTCTTGTGGGAACGTCCAGCGCTTTCGATTGAAATATTTGTTTGCCCAGGGCTTGAATGCGCCTTCTAAAGCTTTTCGGGGTATATATGGTTCCACTACTGCTAGTGGTTCCTGAACAATTAGTTCTAGAACTTTGAAAAAATGTTGCGCGGTTTTTAGTGCTTCCAATCATTGCATTACGTTCTTCTGAGACTCATTACTTCATAACCGCCCGATGCATTTAAATTCGAACAAGAACCATGGATAGACAAGGCTTCAGCTTATATGTGCTGGAAAACTAGTTTCCTTCCAATTATTCGTTCCTTCATAACGTATTCTCAAACTTTGGGAAATTTTGGACGGGTTTTTCACTTTAGCACCATGCACTTTTGCAGCTCATTTCTGAGCCGCTGCTTGGGAAATAAAAAAAACCGTGACTTGCGGGTTGTAGTGTTCACGGTTCCACTGCAGCTAACCGTTCCTGAATAATTAGTTCTTGAACTGAAATGTCTTGCGCCGTTTTTAGTGTTGCATTACGTTCTTCTGAGATTCATTACTATATAACCGTTCAAAATACTAAAATTTAGACAAAATCGGTCGTTAGAAGAAGCTTTAGCAGATAGGGTTTGCAAAATTGTTACCATTCCGATTAGTGGTTCCTTCACCACACATTCTCAAACATTGAAAGAAGTATTGCGGGAATTCAAAATTGTAGACATGTCCTTCTGAAGCTCATTTCTGAAACAATTCTTTCAACAGACAACAAAGCTTTTGTTTATCCGCGTTGCAAAAGTGGTTCCATTCCAAACAGTGGTGCCTTCAGAACGCATTCTCCAACTTTGAGAAATTCTTGACAGGCTTTTCGAATTTGCATTACACGATTTCTGAGACGGTGTCTCTGATATAGGCCTGGCGGGTTCAGCATGCCATAAAGAAAGCATCCATTGATGGCTGTAGTGCATATGATTCCATTCCAACCAGTGGTTTTTTCATACGTAATTCTTGAACTTTGACACGCTTCTGCGCGTTTCTTTGTTTCTGTAATATGATCTTCTGAGATTCGTTACTGCATAGCCGCAAAAGATCTTTCAATGTGGAGAACAGCAGTCGATAGCGAAAGCTTCCTTTTATCGGTTCTGTAAAATTGGTTCCATTTCATCAGCCGGATCTCTTATAACGCATTTTCAAACATGAGAATTTTTTCAGGAGTTTGTCAATTTAACACTAGGCCCTTCTGAGACTCAATTCTGAAACTGTACTTGAGATATGGACAGGCGGATCTCAGGAAGCCGCAAATAAAGGTTCAGTGCACGTTTCCAGAATATTTCGTTCCATTACAGCAACGAATTCTTCCATAATTAATTCTTGATCTTCAGAAGTTATGGCGCATTTTTTCATTTTTGCACCTCATTTCTGAGCCGCTGCTTGAGATATAGGCATGGAGGTAGCAGAAGGCCATAAGGAAACGTTCAGTTGAGGGTTTGAATGTTTATGGTTCCACTGCAGTTAACAGTTCTCGAACTTTAAAAATATATTGCGCGGTTTTTAGTGTTGCATTACGTTCTTTTAAGATTCATTACTATCTAACCGCTCAAAATATTAAAATTTAGACAGAACTAGTCGATAGAGAACGCTTTAGTAGATAGGGTTTGCAAAATTGGTACCATTCCGACTAGTGCTTCCTTCACCACAAATTTTTAAGGTTTGAAAGAAGTATCGCTGGGATCTCACATTTTATACATGTCCTTCTGAAGCTATTTCTGAGACAATTCTTAAGCTGTGGGCATGAGGGTTCCAGCATGGCATACCGGAGCTTTAGTTGAGGATTGGAGTTGATATGGTTCCATTCCAACTAGTAGTTCTTTCATAATTAATTATCGAACTTTAAAATAATTTTGTGTAATTTTTAAGTTTTGTATTACGCTCCTTTGAGGCTCACCACGTCATAACCACCAGAGGCATTGCAATTCGCATAACAGCCATGGATCGAGGAATATTTCGTTTATCGGCGTTGCAAAAGTGGTTCCATTCCAAACAGTTGTTCCTTCACGACGCATTCTCCAACTTTGAGAAATTCTTGACAAGATTTTCAAATTTGCATTAGACACTTCTGAAGCTCATTTCTGAGACGCTGCTTCTGATATGGGCCTGGATGGTCCAGCACGCTCTATAAAAAGCATTCATTGAGGGCTGTAGTGTATATGGTTCCATTTCGGACAGTGGTTTATTCAGAACTAATTCTTGAACTTTGACAAACTTTTGCGCGTTTTTGTGTTTCTGCAATATAATCTTCTGAGACTCGTTACTTTATAGCCGCAAAATATATTTCAATGTGGAGTACAGCAGTCGACAGCGGAAGCTTCCTTTTATCGGTTCTGTAAAATTGGTTCCATTCCATCAGCCTGATCTCTTATAACGCATTTTCAAACTTTTTTTTCATACAGATTTTTTGAGGAGAGACTCAATTCTAAAACTGTACTTGAGATATAAACACGCGGGTTTAAAATGTGAAGTCATAAAGAAAGGTTCAGTGTACGTTTCAAAGGTATCTGGTTCCATTCCAGCTACTAATTCTTCGATAATTAATTGTTGATGTTCAAAAAATATTTGTGCATTATAGCCTTCTGACGCTCTCTATCACCGAAACTGTCGAAGATATCGGAAATACGGTGGTGCTTCTTTTCTGGTGACCGTTCCTTTAAGTAAACAAGATCATTTCGCCTGTTAAAACTTTGCTCTGCTTTCAATATTAACTCATCAGAAAAGACAATTTGTCTTCGGCAGTTGGTCACTGGGGTGCCAACAAAGTAACTCATTTGCTTTTTGGGCTAACTTATTTTTGTTCAACAGTAATTTCCTGAACTGTTCAGAACTTGCTTGACTTTCATCTCATTTCTCAATATGTGCTGCATCCGTTCAGCAGCCTGTTTTCTTCCACTCCGACGCGGATTTTGATCGATTCGTGCCTTTAGTTTTCGAATGTTTTCTGGTATTGATGCAGTCTATTTCGCATCATCTCCATACGGTTTTGCCAAACTTTCTACTCATTTGAAGACGTTTGAATTGATTAACGATAGCAGCCAAATATAGAGCATTTACACTGTTACGATTGAACTCCATCGCGTATCTGTGTCGAGTGTGTTCTATTCTATTCAACTTAGAATAAAATGCGTTTAAACATATATAAATAATGTAATAAACAATCAGGCGTCAAATTTTCACCCTCGGGTGCATTGGTCAGATTGGAATCCATCAAAAGCATTTGTTAATAGATGATGAAGTGTATTCAAGCACCGCATTTACTGGTTTTTTTTAATCTTTACCTGATGGAAATGTAGTAAATTTCAATGGGGGAATAGTGGTTGAAACAGCATTTTTGCATAAAAATGCCGCTAAGAAAAATTGTTGGTGCAAAGATTTTCTATAAGTTGAGCATATTGTTGACCGCGAACGCAAGCGCTGTTTCATTTATAGTAAGAAACGATTTCTGCAGTGCATGAAAACACAAAATAATGCCAATTTGCTTAACTACCTAACTTAATGCCAGTGAGTCTCCAAATCTATTCTGCAAAAATTACAAAGTAATTTGTATTATGTGTTGATCTTGATCGATTTATTCAGTCCTGATCAATTCGAAGATCGAAAAACAACCGGTTTCCATCATAACATGCACCTTAATGTCAGAAACTGCACTTTTAAATTGCAATTTTCTGCCAAAAACTTACTTTCACTGCAAAACTGAATGCACCACATGAACAAACCAAATCCCGACTGGACGAAAATCATTGCAAATCATCCATTTGATTGAGTACATCTGGGCTTTTGATTAAATCACTTTGATACTGGCTTGACTGATGGCCACCAAACTACTGACACCCCGGCAAAGAAGATCGCAGAAACGTCAATGAAAATGGTCGACTGTTTCGCCCACAGATGGCCCCAGTTGGTTAAATACATTTATCATTACGAATAAGCATAAAACCTTATCTCGGTTTCCCACCTGTGTTTCAGAAATCTGCGAATAGAGAGTAAAACTGTCTAAATTGTAACCAGCTGTCTTTCTGTCAGTTTGTGTCGCGTGTAGATGGGTAGTGTTTGTTGGTTAACGCGAGTGACATCGCGAACTTATTCTAAACGATATTTATGAGGCAAAATGAGCGCCACAGGAGGAATGTTGCCCATGTACTACTCCAATAAACCGGTCTCCTTCTGGAGGTTCTTCCGGTCCAAAGAGAAAATCGTCATATTCTTCGTGTTTCTTACCTTTTGCATGGTTTGTTTTGGTACGTTTTTCTACCTGCCCGAGTTTAGGGGCTCGGGCGGCCGAGTGTACGATCAGATTAAACGAGCGGGCCCTGATCTTCTGATCCCACCGCCTCTCCAGATGGAAGACAGTCGGGAGACTCAGCGGTTCATTCGGCATGAAGAAGACGCCCGAGATGACCCCCATATCCTTGATGATCGTGAAAAGTTAAAGGTAATCTGGCAATTTGCTTCAGATCATCAATTAATATTGCTGAGGTCAAGAAGAGGTTCACTGATAAAACCGTGTTATTTGTAACACGCTCGCATGGCTGGTTTAATAGTTTAACGCTGAGCAAGGACCTTAATTGAGGTTATGACTAGCTCATTAAAGTGTACTTGGTGTCTTGTCTTACAGTTAGATGACCTAAACTTTTACGGTTTTTGTCATATTTTTCTCTTGTTCGCATTCATTTGCCACTTAGGAGGACTTATTTCAATTATAGCAGTTGGTAAAAGGAGGCCAACCTATCACTTATTAATAGTGTGGGGCTTAGTGTGTGACCGTCATTGTTTAGTACATCTCAGGTACTTAAAACACTACAGAGCGTTATCAGGGCCATTTAAAGGATGGGTGATTGAGTGCAGTTGCGTAGATACAGTTTTTCTTAATTAGGTATCTAGAGCTAAACTATCATAACGTGATTAACAAGCCGCACATACATTTAGGCATTTTGATGTGGATTCAGGTGTTTATAAACTCTATCGTTCCTCGTCGAGCAAAAATCACACGCAACAATATCAAAGAATTCATAAGACTTCAGTTGCTCTTCAAAAAACTACAGAAGCTGGCGCCCCATGCTCCATTTTCTGCCCATTAATTACCCCGTGTCAGGAATTTCTTGAAATTTTCGACCATGTTCTACCAGAGTCTTGTCTACAACCACTCAAAATTCCTTCAGTCGCAAAATTATAGTTTTGATTTTCTGATTTGTTTCGAAGAAAGTGACCACATTAATACCTCGATTTCTTCATATGAAATTTCAAAAATTCAGCAATAACTAGAATTAACTGAATTTGTGCACGCTCTATAACTAAGGCCTACTTACATCAGCCAAATTTCAAGTATCTGGCTAGCTGAGTTTGGAACTTTTGAATTTTTGAATCTATAAAGTCTTCAAATACACATTGCACTTTTTAGAAATCACCTTTAGAAATTCCTGGAAAATCAGCCAATGCCACAAATTTCTTGGAATTTTGGACAGTGTTCTACCAGAGTCTTGTCTACAAGCACCCAAAATTCTTTTAGTAGCAAAATTATAGTTTGGATTTTCTGATTTTTTTTAGAGCGTGACCACATTGAAGCCTCGATTTATTTACATGAAATTTTAAATTTTTTAAAAAATTCAGCAGTAACTGGAATCCACTGAATTTTTGCACACTCTATAACTAAGGCCTCCTTTAGACAGGGGCAAATTTCAAGTATCTAGCTAGCTGAGTTTGGAACTTATGAATTTTAGAATTTATGAATTCTTCAAATGCACATCTTGCACTTTTTGGGAATAACATTTAGAAATTCCTGGAAAATCAGCCAACGTCAGGAATCTCTTGAAATTTTCGACAGTGTTCTACCAGAATCTTGTCTACAACCACCCAAAATTCCTTCAGCCGCAAAATTTTAGTTGGGATTTTTTCATTTTTTTACATCAAATTATTAATTATCATTAATTCCATTACTCTTCGAAAAATTCACAGCACTTAAACAGACAATAACAATCCACTGCGAATTGCAAAATTTAATCGTGCAGTTAGCAGGCAGGATAAACTGCCGCACTTGCCTTAAGAGCCACAATAATTCTACACTTGTCATCTAAGGACGCAAAGAACATGCAATCGATCTATTGCAAAGCTGTGAGAGAAACTTGAATTTGTAAATAGAGGCATTTTAGAAAAGAGAAGAATAGTTCAAAGCTGCAAGCAAACACTTTAAATATTAAATATTTTTGGAAATTTATCTTGAATTATTCATTGCGTTTCTAAAACCGAGAATGTTAGTGAAATAAATGATAAATATTCTCAAACATGGAACGGTTCAAGCTGTAGCAGAAAGCTGCTCTTAGCGAATAGAACTTTGTTATTGGCTGTTAGCAGAGAAGTACCTAAATGGTCATAAATATATACAGGGTTGCTCATTAGTGCGTCAAAGTGCGATATCTCAGTAAATATGAAGTTTACAAGAAAATTCGTCCAACGAAAGTTTTTCACGTT